GACAGGGTAGACCAGGGCATGTCACTAACAATTTAAATGAACACAGTGCATTACAGCAAATACATTCTCTTATTTCTGTTTTGCACTTGAATATTACATTTTAAGAACTTGGCATTTTATCTTGGATAAGTTTCTACCTGTTATTGGAAAGTAGTGCAGGAAAAACCTGTGGTTTTTCTAAGAAAATTTGTTTTTCCTTGAAAGTGAGGGATGGGGCATGTATCAATTTAAAGTTTAATAAGTGATCTTGCACATGATGATTACTTTCTTCTTTAGACTCTCTTCAGATCACTAGAATACAACAGTCTCTTGTCCCTTTGCTCCTCTTTTCTCTGAAAGCTTCATGAAATTATTCATTGGTACACTCCCTTGCAGGTTCCAACTCCTGTGAACAAAAGCTCTCTGACTTGAGAAGAAAGCCAGGACTTTTTACCATGATCACCTAAGGAATCCCCCCTATTTGTCACTGATTCTCCCTGTTAGGCTTCTATGACATGACTTTCCATTTTCAAAAGAAAGAGGGACTCTTCCTTTCCCCCAGTGACAATCTATATATGAATTTGATATTATCCTTTCTAGCTTTTTTTATTTTGTATTTAGACTTATATCATGACTTCCATTCTTAAACAGTGATGTGTTCATTCATTCAAACTATGTTTACTGAGGGCCAGTTCTGAGGCAAGAACTATCATTTATAACTGATGTCAGTTGTTTTCTAGATTGAGGAATGTGATCATTTCATAATCTTTACAAACACCAGATCATCTGGTATACCTGAAAGTAATGTACTATATGTTAGTTAAAAAGACATGTCAGGGTCCTCCCTGGTGGCTCAGCAGGTTAAAGTACAACACTAAGGAGCTAAAGCCATTCCAGCATGAGTTTGATCCCTACCCTGGAGGTGACCCACATGGTGCAGCAGACCCACACACTGCTCCCCTCAGCAGTGTACTTCGTTGATCTGCCTGTTCTGCTCCCCACTCTGTCTCTTGTGAATCCTCTCACGTGCCCCTGCACCTCTGGCCTGTACCCCAGTTCTGTAAGCATAAATAAATAAATATTTAAAAAAAAAAGACATGTCAACCATCAAGAATATTCTGTACTTAAATAATTAAAAGTAGATTTGCACCTACCCCTGGTATCTGTCGATTTGTGGATAAGAAGTGGGATAACATTCTTGTGATTACTGTGAGTTTAAGTATTTGGGAGTATTTCTACCTTTAGAAATAATGATCCTTTAGTCATTATCATTATTGTTTGTGTCACTTAATAGATACCTACTTCACAAAAGATACATTGAATGTTCCTTATCCCCTAAGACAGCATAGAAGGTCTTAGAATGTTCACATTGGTCAGTCTTTTCATGTAATATGTTAGCATTGTCTGGCATTGTAGTGGTTTTCTTTTTGACTCCCCAAATAAGTATTATTTCTGTCTTGTGATGACAATGTTTGCTGATAGACTTGCTTATCTCATTAGCCTTTTGTTTGTACACAATTTCTCTTCCAGTATAACTTCCTCTGGTATCTTTTTACTTAGGGTGAAGTACATTTGGCAAAGCTTATTGTTAGTAAATGCTGTTTTTATTATTGTTGTTACAAAATAATCTGGTTTCTCTTTCATTCTTGCCTGATAATTTAACTGTGTCGTGAATTGTGTAATGACTGTTATTTTTTCCTCAGCACTCTGAAGAAACTGTTCTACTGTCTTCTGGCTTCTGTTGTTGCTCTTGAGAAGTCTGCCACCTGTGTCATTGTTGTTCCTTTTGTAAGTAACCTGTATTTTCTTTCCAACTGCTTTTAAGGACTTCCGTCTCTTAAGAGTTTGTTTTATTTCTAGATGTATGATAGCTCTCTTCCCTAGATTTTATTTTTCTTCTTACTTCTACATCATCACCTTTGAATGGTTTGGTTTTCATGTATTTCAACCACCTATATGTATCATGCAGAAATGCATGATAGGGAATAGGCCTATTGGCATGCTTATGTAATGAGAATTATTCATAACATTTTTTTTCTGCTTTTCATTGAATATAGGCCAAGATTGAAGTGTTCCTTGTTATTTCTTTTGAGAGCAGGTGTTTGTCCTCTAATTTCTGGCTTATTGTTCACCCAAGGCCTTTTCTCTTGAAATTTTTTAGATCCTTAGGTACAGATGTAGCTAATTGGGCCACAAATGCCCAGCAGTAGCAGCAGCTTCAAAATTTGTTACCTTTCTAATTTCTGGTTCTTTCTGCATTGAAGCTCTTACTCTAAATGTGGTGAGCTTTTAGATTTACTTCTAAATGTGGTGTGTTTGTCATGTGTCATCCCACATTTACTGGTGTTATTCAGGAAATCTGATGCATTTACCTAGCAAGTGTATCCACCATCACAGTCATAATATGCAACAGTTCCTTCACATTCTCAAATTACCTCATGCTGTCCCTTTTTTGTCAAAACAGGTGCTGACCTATTCTCCATCCCTAGAGTTTTACCTTTCCCAGAATGTCATATTAATGACATAGATAGTCTTTGGGGTCTTTTTTCTCTTAGTAAAATATATTTAAGATTTACCCATATGGTTGCATGAATCAGTAGTTTGTTCTATAGATTGCTAAGTAATATTCCACTGTATGGAAATACCAAAGTTTTGTTGATTGATTCATATTTTTGAGAAGCAGCGGAGTTTTCAGTTTTTAGCAGTTGTGAATTAAGTTGCTATATTGTGGTGTACAGATGTCTGTCCAGACAGAAGTGTAAGTACCTGTGAATATGACTGCCAGATTATATGCTAACTGTATGTTTAACTTTATTAGAAACAACCAAATTTTTTTTAATCATGGTTGTACTGTTTTATATTCCCATTAGCAGTGTTTGAGGCTTTTTGTGTCTGTTATATTTTCATTAACATACTCATTATTTATTAGAATTCCTGGAATTTTATCACTCCTGACGACTTCCCTTACTTTCAATAATTGCTTTCTTCTCTCCAATATCCCCAACATTCCATAAGACTACAGAAAGTTTGCATTATATCTTTGACCTATAGCAGTGCCTGAGAAATGATAAAGCTATTCTTCTGGGATGAACAAATAGAATTGGCCTTGGATAGAAGAAAAAAAGATGTCATAAGAGAAGACATGAAACAGGGCATAAAGAAACAAAACAGACTGGGAAATAAACAAAAAGCAGCTTGCTATCTTGGTTGAAAAGGATAAGGAGGACTAACGAAGATAACCATGACTAGCATACTAGGAAGCACTATGCAAGAGACAAGGCCAATGGAGAGGTATATTTTTAATTTTTCCATTTTACCTTCGATTGACTAGGTATGAGTTTTTGTTTCCATCTGTAAGAAGTTGGGAGAAGCCACAGATAAGTTCATTTCGTGCATCTACCCAACGGTGAGGTGTGTGTCACTGCACAGGGACAGCAGAAGAGTATTTAGATAGACTGTGGTGTGTTGTGTGTCACTTACCGCGGTGATAGGTACATGGCTTGAGCCCTTGAAGACCTGTTTCATGTTGTGAGTTTTCTCCTGTGTCTCATTTGTCTTGTACCCTCTTTCTCCCTGTTATCTTTTGGTTAAACACTAGACATTGTAAACAAGAAATTACCAAGGTAATTTGAAACCTTAGCTAATATGCCACATCTTCATTGAAGCTTTACGTATGGCAGTCTTGAATGACCTTTATCCACATTTCTTAACCTTTATCCAACTCATTTTTTAGCTGATTCAGGCTTCAGGCTCTGCCAGCCTGGTCGAATGTTTCTCTGTGAGTTTCTCACTGTCATCCTCCGAGTAACCAGCCCAAAGCACGGTTACTCTATGTGCTCCCTATTCTCCAATTGTCACCCGAGCACAATGAAGTGGTTCAAATTACTGCTGAGTTTCTCTATCTCACTTGCTTTTTCTAGAACTGTATGATTCCCCTAGCTGGCCCCAAATGTAGTTTGTTTCTCCTGAGTTTCCACATTTTTCAACTTTTAGTCCACCCTTATTCCAAAATTAACTTTTCATTGCCTCGATCAAGTGCTTTTTATATTTTGTCCAGTTTGTTTTTAATTGTCCTCATCAGTAAGATTGCTCTAAATGACTTAGTCTTCTGTCACCAGAAATGGATGCTTAAGATTCAGGAATTGAGAATTAAGTTGAAATTGGAAGAATGATAAAAGTTAGTTTGTATAGAATATTTCATGCAGAGTAGTCCAAAGACATGGAGTAGGCACTTGCCAGCAGCAAGCTGAAACTGGCTTTGTGGCTTTTTTCTCATTAACAGAAGAAATGTAGTATACTTGGCAAATAGCAAAACTGAGAATTGGGAAATAAGATAAGTAAACCATGGAGGGCTTTGTCAATGTCATTTGGATTTCATTCAAAGTTTAATTTGGAAGATATTGAAAAGTTTTAGCTAAGATAGGAAATCACTATGAGAATCTGAAATCAGAATCACTTGGTAGGAAATATTAACACTGGAGAGCCAGGCTATTTTCCTGAGTCAGTAAATTCAGTCAGCCTGATGTGACATCCTCAGTTTTAATCAGTCTTCCCCAATTTTGATCCCCACTAAGTCTGAGAACCACTGACTTAAAATTTTTTAAAACATTTTCCATTATCTTCTTAGTAAATATATTTTCATTGTTCTCTGATTTTTCAGTGCTCTTCCTATGTTAATATATAAAGGTAATTTTAAGCTAATATTTTTTCAGAATCTAGTTAGGAACACAGTCCTATATCACAAGTCAGTTTAGTGGGTTTTGACAAGTATGTCAAAGTCTTCCCAAGAGAAAGAGGGAGAGAGAAAGAACTAGAATACAATAGAAAACAGAATAGATATTGATTTGTGATACTGTATATTATAATAGGTTATAATATGAAAGGTAAGTAGTTATAGATCATAATAAGTAATTGAAAGATACTAGCCAGCTATTTCTTATGGGTGGTATTTCCCCATATTCTTTTTCTAGTATGGAGTTCTACATCTGACATGACAACAGAAACCTTTGATGTTCTCTGTCTTTCAGACTTGCCTTCAAAGTGTGCAAATAAGAATTCATCTTCAAAAAAGGACACTTACAAAATAGAATTATTCCAATGGGAAATGAGTGACAGCCTTGAAAACTGTGATCTTGAGAAGTCCAGTTGCAGAGATTATTTGGAAGTCAAAAGCGTACTGGAAAATCAGGAATATTTCAGGCACGGAATGATCATATATGAAAAAATGTCCATTTTCAACCAGCATAATTATTTAGCTCAACATCCCAGGTGTCATTCGACTGAGAAACCCTATAAATGTAAGGAATGTGGGAAAGCCTTCAGACGAGCCTCACACCTAACTCAACACCAGAGTATTCATACTGGTGAAAAGCCCTATGAATGTCAGCAATGTGGAAAGGCCTTCAGTCGTGACTCACAGCTGAGTCTTCATCAGAGACTGCACACTGGTGAGAAGCCCTATGCATGCAAGGAATGTGGGAAGGCCTTTACTCAGAGCTCACAACTTATTTTACACCATAGAATTCATACTGGTGAAAAACCATATAAATGTGAAGAATGTGGGAAAGCTTTTATTCGTAGCTCACAACTCACCCGGCATCAAAAAGTCCATACTGGTGAGAAACCATATGAATGTAAAGAATGTGGGAAGGCCTTCACTCAGAACTCTCAACTAACTTTGCACCAGAGACTTCACACTGGTGAGAAACTCTATGAATGTAAAGAATGTAGAAAGGTCTTTACTCAGCTCTCACAACTTATTCTGCATAAGAGAATTCATACTGGTGAAAAACCCTATGAATGCAAGGAATGTGGGAAAGCTTTTATTTGTGGCTCACAACTTTCTCAGCATCAGAAAATTCATAATGGGGAAAAGCCCTATGAATGTAAAGAATGTGGGAAGGCCTTTATTCGTGGCTCATTACTTATGCAACATCAAAGGATCCACACTGGTGAAAAACCCTACAAATGTGAAGAATGTGGGAAGGCCTTCATCCGTGGCTCACAACTTACTCAACACCAGAGAATTCATACTAACGAGAAACCCTATGAATGCAAGGAGTGTGGAAAGACCTTTAGTCATGGCTCACAACTTACTCAGCATCAAAGAATTCACACTGGTGAGAAACCCTATCAATGTAAGGAATGTGGGAAGGCCTTTAATCGTGGCTCACTCCTCACTCGACATCAGAGAATCCATACAGGTGAGAAACCCTATGAGTGTAAGGAGTGTGGAAAGACCTTTAGTCGTGGCTCAGAACTTACTCAACATGAGAGAATTCACACTGGTGAGAAACCCTATGAATGTAAGGAGTGTGGGAAATCTTTTATCCGTGGTTCCCAGCTTACTCAACATCAGAGAATCCATACTGGTGAGAAACCCTACGAATGTAAAGAATGTAGAATGGCCTTTACTCAGAGTTCACATCTTTCTCAACATCAAAGACTTCATACTGGTGAGAAACCCTATGTATGTAATGAATGTGGGAAGGCCTTTGCTCGTGGCTTACTGCTCATACAGCACCAGAGAATTCATACAGGTGAGAAACCCTATCAGTGTAAAGAATGTGGGAAGGCCTTTATTCGTGGCTCACAGCTTACTCAACATCAGCGAATTCACACTGGCGAAAAACCCTATGAATGCAAAGAATGTGGGAAGGCCTTTAGTCACGGCTCTCAACTTACCCTACATCAGAGAATCCACACTGGTGAGAAGCCCTATGAATGCAAAGAATGTAGAAAGGCCTTTACTCAGAGCTCACATCTTTCTCGACATCAGAGGGTTCATACTGGTGAGAAACCTTATCAATGTAAGGAATGTGGGAAGGCCTTTACTCGTGGTTCACAACTAACTCAACATCAGAAAATTCATATCAGTGAAAAATCTTTCGAATATAAAGCATGTGGGATAGATTTTAGTCATGGTTCACAGTTATTTGAGTCTCTGTGATTGAGGTAAAGAGTCTTCCCTGTTCATTAATCCTGTATCAAAATTCTTTTATGAATATGGGAGTACATTTGCCTCGTAAATGCCAGGATTGATGAATTTATGTGAGAGAAAGATATTGTTATTCATGTAGAAAACATTGCTGGAAACAGATTTACCAATAGAGAATAGTTCTATTAGTATAGTAAAGATAGGAAGACCTTAGCCATAGCATATGTTTTTGTAACATTATCTTCATTCTACCATTTGCTTTCATTCATCATAATTAACCTCTGCTTTGGTTTAATCATTTGTAAGGTAGGCCTAAGAATAATACTTTCTTTAGTAGCTTCTTGGGAGTATTATGTGAATTATTACATGTAAAGCCTTAGTGCCTTGAACACAGCATTTCACAAATATTAGCTATCACTATTATTAGTGTTATTTTAGTTTAGTTTTTTTTTTTTTTGCATGAGAGACAAATACTTAGGAGTGTAAGGAATATTAAGGAATCTTTCATTAACATTTAACCTCAAGTATTTAAGTGGGAGAGGGCACTGTATGCTATAAAATATAAGAAAGCTTTCATTCAGATACCATCCCATATACTATAAAAGGAAAGTCATGCTGTAAAAAGAATTCTGTAGATTTTAATAAGTGAGATGAAGAGATACGAAGTGATCATCACATAGTTCAGAAAACTTGTATTTTCTACCATCTCTGGCCACAATTCAAGATTATTTAGAAATGACAAAAATGGATAGCCAAATCTTTCCACAAGACAATTTTTAGAAATAGACACATACAACTTTTAGATTAAAATAAATCAGAATTTAAATTAAAAATTACAATCAACATTACAGACCACTTTGCCATTAAAAAATGATAAGCATGTGTCAGAGGCTATTTCCCTACCCAAGATCCATTTTCTCCTGTTAGTCACAGAAATCTTCGCTGAAAGACTGCCATGGCCTACTTTGTAGGGCAACAAGATGGAAGCATGTTTCTATGAGTAGGGCATTTAAGGAAACTTTTTTTCTCTCAGAGCTTCTTTTTTGCCCCTATCTACAATGTGGACATTTAATCTGCAGCATGGGCAGTTTTATGAGGACTGTGAGAACAATATTAAGGGTGGTGGGGCAGAAGTGCAGAATGAGTCTGCACCCGAGCTGGTATGCAACAGCCATACCAACTCCGGTCTGTCCGTCTCGTGTAGTTCTTCGTACAAAATTAAAATAAACGTATTTGTTCATGCTGTTGTTGTTATTGATGCTACAAATTATTAAGTATATTAACTTCTTTTTTTAAGATTATTTATTTGTGCATACAGAGCCGAGGTACAGGACAGAGGCTCAGGGGCGGTGAGAGGCTTCATCAGAGAAAGAGTGGGGAGCAGAACAGGCAGATCGACGAAGTACACTGCTGAGGGGAGCAGTGGGCGGGTCAGGAAAGGTCTGCCGTGCCATGTGGCCACCTCGGACAGGCAGGAATCGAACTCATGCGGAAGCGGCTTTAGATTCTCAGTGCTGTGTTTTAACCCACTGGGCCACCAGGGAGGAACTAAGTATATTAACTTTTATACCTGGAAGTGGAGTGCTCTGGGGAAAGGGAACGTCAAATGTGTCACTAATTTTGGGCCAAAGAAGATCTACCTTTGAGAACTCCTTGATTTTATAGGCAGGACATTTTGTCAGAGTCACACACCATCTACAAGGTCAACATTGTGGCAGTTAAAGCAGTGATGTTAGGGGAGATGGTAGGAATGAGTCTGAAAGTGTTGAAAGTTTCTTGCTGCTTTCTGTAATGTCATACAAAAAGAGATGACTTTAGGGTAAAGTTAGCAACAAGCTACTAGCAGAGATTGAAAGTGATGTTGTCTTTTGTTAAGACATGCACAATTCAGATTTATGGTAAATTGCATAATTTTGAAATATGGGGATTCAAAATACCAAACTGATTCTCTACCCTTAACTTAAGGCACATACAGTAATTTAAAATGACAGTGTAACCCAGAAGCGAGACCCCTTCCTATCTACATAAAGGCAGTGAGTTTGCCAGCAAAGATGAATTTAAAATGCTTTCCCCATCCAAACCTGTTGTTCTAAAATTAGTTATATAGAGAAAGTGCTTATTCCTTTTATCTTAGTTGTTTTGGGATATATCAACAAGTAATTCTGTTCAGAGGAGAAGGATAGTAAATTGTAGCATGTTTGATTGTAGTGTTGAGAGGGCAGTCATTCAAAAGGAGTTGATAGGGGTACGTCAGCTTAGGGTACTATATGAAATAGAATGATCAGGGTAGACTGGAAAAGGGAAGATCTGAATCATGATTTCAATATGAAGGAGTAAGTGGCCAACCAAGAAAAGTGCATTCCAGGCAGAGAAAGGTAATTTTACCCAGGAAGATAAATATAAAAACCACATGTCATGAAAATAGATGTGCATACCTACAATGTAATAGCTCTTATTACATTTGCTTTTAAATATATATGTGTATATACATACATACATATATATTGCATATTCCATTTTAAATTGCCTTTCTGCTTCACCCACATATTTTGGCAATCATTCCAATTTCAACTGCTGCGTAACCAGCACCCCAAACTTGGCTTAATGTGCAGTGGCCATTTATTTAGCTCACACATCTACAAAAGTTAGGCAGGTGTTGGCAGCAATACTTCATTTCATATACCAGTAGATTGGGTGGCTTGAAAGCTAGGGGTGTCTTGATGGCTGAAAGTTGGAATCATCTGAAAACACAGTTGGTTACTATCTGGCAGTTCATTCTGGCTGTCAGCTGGACCTCGGGTGTTCAGCCAGAACACCTATAGGTGATACCTATATGTGGCACTTAGCATGGTGAGTCGGGTACCAACAGTATCCCCAAGGTGAAAGTACATGTAATGTCATGATCTGACCTCAGAAATCAAATCACTTGCACTGTATCCCATTTGTGGAAACAGTCCCAGCTCAATGAAGGAAGTGTCACCTAATAAGGAGAGCTTGTAAATTGAGCTATCTCCGAAAAAGACAATCTTCCACAAAGATGCTTTCATGCCTAGCCATGTGGTCAAGTAATCCCACCTCTCTCATTTTCTACTGGTTTAGACAGTTAAATCTCAATGGGAAAATGTCACATCATCAGAGCACAGGTGGTGAGTAGTTTTGGAAAATACACTGT